GGCGAATAGCGCGAAGTCATCCAACTGGACGCTGTGCTCGTGTACAAACAGACCCCAGCCGTCGTACTCGTTATCCGCGAAGCTGCCTGTCTCACTGAGCACCAGGTTCAGCTGGCCGGACAGCATGTTTCTGCCGACAGTGGTGTTGGTGCGCAGCGTGGCGCAAGCGCCCAGCAGCGGCGTATGCGCCGCCCGGATGGTTCCCAAGTCTGAGCAGTTGACGTTGCCAATGGTGCACTTGGTCACCATGTCCTCCACTTGTAGTTGGCGGCGGCAAAGAACTCGTCCAGATTGTACTCGTCCCAGTGCAGCAGTGAGAATGCAGGCGTGTCGTCGTCCAGCCAGTCTAGCAGGCTCACTCCAGGAAGGCTCATCTTCTCCACCGCCTCCTTCTTGAATTTGTTGCCGTGACAAACGGTGAGGGCGGGCACCTTGACCTCGTCCAAGATCTGGTGAGAAAACTGCCAGCTGGTGCCGCCGCGCGCCAGCCGCCCCAGCGGGCTGCAGAGCTGCGCGGCCAGCGCAGCAGCCAGCAGCGCCACCAGCACCAGCAGCCAGAGCAAGCGGCGCGGCCAGCCAGCGGGCTCAGCACGATCGAGACGCCGCTAGTGCTGAGCTGGCCGGGCGGTAGGCAGCGCGGGCCCAGCGCCGCCGCCGCCGCTGTCTGCCAACACCGGTCCGGGACGGAGCCGGCCGCCGGGCCCACCCGACGCTTCTGCGAGGCCGACATCAGCCACGGACCGACAGGGCAGAGGGCTCAATGCGCACCTCCACCGGGCCGACAATTCACAGCACAAGCCGTCTTTAGTGAGAAATGGCGCAGCACAGGCTTATCTCTCCCAGGCTTCTGAGTGACACTTCCGTATCTTCTTCGGGTTTGAACAACGCCTGAGACGAACAGATGAAGCAGGAAGAAAATTCAGCGAGAGCAGGCCCCGGTCCAACTAATTCTTCATTGGGTACCTTCACCTGATCCGGATAGCAGACCGCTGCAGCGAAGGTTTTCCACCTCTGAGCTTGTGACCCGTGCCCAATAGACTCCCTCCGTGTTCCCACTGCGCCCCTGGCCTGCGCTGTTAAGGCCCTGGTCACCACGATACCGACGCAACAGGGGGGGGGGGGGGGGAGGGGCATCATTTGTCCGGTGTGCCGCGCACATATCACTTACAGTAATAAACTGCGCGTGACAAATTTGCATTGGCCACTGGAAGTCATACCACATTGCAGATACGTCAACACTGAAATCGAACGCCGTGCAACAATGCAAGAGCGCACAGTCCCATATGTAGCTTACGACTGGCACCTGTGCCAGCTCACAGGCATCGACGCTGCTGCCGCGGCCTGCGGACCGTGTCTGGGGGGCCGGCCACGGGCTGTCGGCGCTGGGCTGTCGGGACGCGCGGCTCCGCAGCTGCGGGCTCGTCAGCGTAGACATTGGTCTTTGGGTTATCTTTGTGACAAGTTGTGCCGTCCTGACTGATTTAGTGTACGTCATCCCCGCTGTTTCTTGACTGATACGGTACCCGCCACCCCACCCTGTCGTCTCCTGACTGATACGGTACCCGCCACCCCTGTCGTCCTCTGACTGATACGGTAACCCGCCACCCCTGTCGTCTCCTGACTGATACGGTACCCGCCATCCCCCTGTCGTCTCCTGACTGATACGGTACCCGCCACCCCCTGTCGTCTCCTGACTGATACGGCACCCGCCACCCCTGTCGTCTCCCTGACTGATACGGTACCCGCCACCCCTGTCGTCTCCTGACTGATACGGTACCCGCCACCCCTGTCGTCTCCTGACTGATACGGTACCCCGCCAGCACTGTCGTCTCCTGACTGATACGGTACCCGCCACCCCCTGTCGTCTCCTGCCGGTACGGTACCCGCCACCACTGTCGTCTCCTGACTGATACGGTACCCGTCACCCGCCGCCGTCTCCTGATACGGACCCGTCACCGGCCGCCGTCTCCTGATACGGGTCCGTCACCCCCGCCGTCTCCTGATACGCCACCCCGTCATCCCCAACGGCTCCAGATACGGACCCGTCACTCCCCGCCGTCTCCTGATACGGTACGTCACCGCCGCCGTCTCCTGATACGGTGCCCGTCACCCCCGCCGTCTCTCGATACCGTACCCGTCACCGCCGCCGTCTCCCGACACGGCAAACCGTCACCACCCCCCGCCGTCTCCCGATAACCGTACCCGTCACCGCCGCCGTCTCCCGATACGGCACCTGTCACCGCCGCCGTCTCTTGATACGGCACCCGTCACCGCCGCCGTCTCTTGATACGGCACCCGTCACCGCCGTCGTCTACTGACTGATTCGGTGTCCGTCATCCTCGCCGTCTCCCGATACGGTAGTCATCGCCGCCGTCTCTTGATACCGTACCCGTCACCAGCCGCCGCCTCCTGACTGATTCGTTGTCCGTCATCCTCGCCGTCTCCCGATACGGTTAGCCCATCTCCACCGTCTCTTGATACCGTACCCGTCACCGCCGCCGCCGTCTCCTGACTGATCCGGCGCCCGTCACCCCGCCGTCTCCTAACTAATACGGTACCCATCATTCTGTCATCTCCTGACTGCCACCAGTCACCCGCTAACTGATACGTCGCCTGTGCTCCCCGCCGTTCGCTCTCCTGTGCGCTGCTAGATTCCTGCGACCATTGCCAGTTACACGCTTCCTGCGCACTGCTGGCACGCCTATGCCATACCAGCAGTGTTGCGATGCTTCGTGCCGCAACGTTCCGGCACACTACGGGTGAAGCGAAAGGCGGGCGCTACTTCTGCTGCTCTGAGTTTTTAGTCCCAAAAAGCTACTCCCAGGAAGAACTTTTCCCTCCACTAAGACAAAAACAATGGCGGTTGAAAAACAAAAACTGTTTTGGCGTTCTAACTCAACATCCACCTAAAATGGAGGGAGAACCCCATCCAGAATGACCACATTCGCCATGTGAAGCGGACTTCGTCCATGCCAGCGCTGGTGCATCGCCAAAAAGATAGACGACACCAAGGTCCACGTTCGTTAGAATGGGATGGCCGTCGTTTCCAATTGTCTTCAGCAGACTTATCCGATAACTTGTTTGTGTGCAGCTCGGAGGACGTAACATTGCCATGATGTGACTAAGCATGAAGAGGCGGACACCCACGCCGGTCGGTCAATGGACACATTGCTCTAAGTTTGACCTCACGGGTCATAAACTGCCCGCGCCATTCAGGCTTCAAACTTCACCCGCTGATCGACGAGGCCACGTCGACGGCTGTAATACGATTACACACCTCCGTCAAACGTGGGCGCCCCAAACGCCTGCCGTTCAAATAATCAGTCGTCTGGCTTCAATGGTTGCCAGGCCAGTCGCAGGTCCTGTTGGACACCCTCACAGGAAGCAAATGTAGTTACTGACCGAACGCGGCGTCACGCTGCCTCAAGCCTGTTGTGTTGTGGCGGCTATCCGGGCCTGCTGCACGCCCACCTCAGTGGGGCGATGGTCAGCAGTCAGGAGCCGCTGCCGGCAGTCCATGCTCCAGACACATCAGCTGCATCAGGAGCAGCCGCCGGCGGTCCATGCTCCAGACACATCAGCTGCATCAGGAGCCGCCACCGGCGTTCCATGCTCCAGACACATCAGCTGCATCAGGAGCCGCCGCCGGCAGTCCATGCTCCACACACATCAGCTGCATCAGGAGCCGCCGCCGGCGGTCCATGCTCCAGACACATCAGCTGCAACAGGAGCCGCCGCCGGCAGTCCATGCTCCAGACACATCAGCTGCATCAGGAGCCGCCGCCGGCAGTCCGTGCTCCAGACACATCAGCTGCGCTCCGTTCGCATCATCACACTCGGTATGGCGGGTCGCCAGCCAATCAGAGCCAAGCACGGCGCAACGTCATCATATCTCCAGAACAACCGGTGCATACCTCAGACCCACATTTCTTTATATGCATCCATACTGCGGATTTGATGTGCTGCGCCCACATGCCCCAAGGTTGAACAGCATTCGTGGACAGCGCAACGGAGCACCACCAGATCACCAAAGGAAAGCCACAAAACACGCGGGTAACGGTCCCGCTGCGAACAGAAGCGAGGCACGAGAAGGAATGCTGCACAGCCGGCGGTGCCTCGCCACCCCACACCGGCGCCGGTGGCGCGAGGCAGACTTTTGCGCGTCAGAACAGCTCGCCACCCGCCCCACCGCTGGCCCGGACAACTCCCAGTGCGGGCACGAGCGCGGGCACGAGCGGCAGCGCCAGCGCGCCGCTGGGCGCAGAACGTCCCAGCATTCCACAGCTGAGGCGCAGCATTCCACAGGTGAGGCGCACCATTCCACAGCTGAGGCGCAGCAGTCCACAGCTGAGGCGCAACAGTCCACAGCTGAGGCGCAGCAGTCCACAGCTGAGGCGCAGCAGTCCACAGCCGAGGCGCAGCAGTCCACAGCCGAGGCGCAGCAGTCCGTCACGCACACACACGCACACCGTCACGATGACCGTCGCTGTCCCGCCGCCCGGGCCACACCGGCGGCGGCCATCGCCAGCGTGACGGCGGCCATCTTGTCGGCGCCGTCGCTCTGATGAGCCTCGCAGCGTGCCCACACGCTGATGCCAGCACGTGCTTGACAGCCCACACCGCGCGATTTGGCCCGTCGCTGCCAGCCCGTCCCAAGTGATGCGTCGTTGGATATGCGAATCCGCGTGCCGAGCACAGCCTCTCGCCGTCCGCCCGGCTGATGGTCGATGTTTCTGTGCAGCGCCGAGTGGCCGCGCTCCTACTTGATCTTGTGGATGTATTTGGCCCTCTTGGTGACGCGGCCGCAGCATAGGCCGCCGAAGAACATGACGACCAGGATGCCGAACACGAGCAGCACAAAGAAGTCGCGGCTGGGCGAGTCGCGCACGGACGCGATCAGCTCGGGCACCGTCTCCACCGGCCGCACCTGGTGGACAGGGTGCGCCACACAGTCAGGACCGGTCCACCAGTAGTCCGTCGAGTGACCGAGCCTCAACGACTCCGACGTCCCAAGGGCGCACACAGAAACACGAGGGATTATGGCAAATATCAGGGCAGAACGACAGCTAAACGGCACCAAAAGGCGAGCAGCCCTGTGGAGTGGTGGGAGGCACCCACGGAGTCAGACGGGTGAGGCAGCCCTCAGACGCCCGCGAGAACACATGGACTAGGGACAGTTAGCTGACCACGGCAGTTACTGGCGTCGATGACGACAGCTGATCAGCCCATCACGTCTGCGATGATGATGATCTGGACTTTAGGGCGCGTCAACGCCCTGGTCCTACGGCGCCCACACGCGCCCACACACACACACATAGACATCCGCGATTCAAACCAACTCACCCGCTTCACCCTCATCCCGCCACTCCCGTCCCCCGCCACCCCGCCACTACCCCCGTCCAGCAATCGCGAGGACGGCTCACCTTCAAAGCAGCGGCCACCATCTTCAGCCGCATGTTGAGCACGTCCGCGCAGCGCTGTGTCGGGTCGTGCACCTCCGTTAAGCACGTCAGCTGCGCGCCGTGGCCGGGCGGCACATGCGCGCAGTGCCGCTGCAGGTCGAGGCCCGCACGCCACGCTCAGCTGCGGGTCCGTGTGCACGTCCACGTTCACGTCCTCGACGATGCGCGCCACGCGCCTGGCGCAGGCGTCGCTGAGCGCCGAGCCAGCCGCCAGCTTCTCCCGCAGGCACTCGCCGACGCGCTCTGGCGGCAGGCCGGTGCACTGCTGCGCGATCTCGGCGGCGCAGTCGCGCAGCAGCAGCGGGTCCTTGGCGCACGTCGCGCGCTTGCCTCGCGCAGCACCAGGTCCACCTGACGGCTGCAGGCGTCACCCAGCATGCCGCGCCGCAGCGCGCCGGCCAGGCAGGCGGTGACCTGGCCCTGCAGCGAGCTGTCCGGCGTCTGGCGCTCCAGAAACGGCGCGCAGTGGGCGCGCGCCTCGGCCTGGCAGGCGCGCCGCAGTGCCGGGTGCAGCCGGTAGTCCCGCTTCTGCTCGGCCAGCCGGCGAGACACGACCTTCTCGCAGGTCGGGGTCGAAACGACGGCTCGTCCAGCTGGGCCTGCGGGCGGGACGGCAGCCGTAAGGCGCCGCCGCCCAGGCACCGGACCAGAGAACCAGACCGGACCGCACCAACTGCTACGACCGCGGTCGGAGCACGCGCGTCGAGTTCCCGACAGACGAATCAGCTTATCAAGCGGGTCGCTCAACAGCTGCCCTCCTTCCTCGGCCACACCAAAAAACGGCACGGATCGGCTGTACCGGCAGCGAGGCCAGAAATGCTTTCACGATCCCAATGCCGAAAACGACCTAATCCTGGCAACAAGACACTCACACCAGAAACACGAGCAAGTCGCTGATGTCCACAACACACCATTTCTGACAAGAAACGCGTCCGTCTGGCGTCGCGCTGGAGCCTGTCAGATGAGACCTGGCCGAGGCTGGCCGCGCCGACCGCCTACCCTTCAAACAGCCGAGCAGTTCGGCCCCGAGCTCTCAGGGGCGCGGCAAGTACTTGAGGATCATGCCCTTGCAGGCGTTGAAGAGGAAGTAGTCGGCCTGGGGCAGGATGAGGCTCTGCTGCTGGCGGCGGAACAGCAGGTGGCTGCAGGCGGGCAGCAGCTCGTCCACGTGCTCGCGCAGACACTCCAGCACCTGCGGAAGCGGTGGCGTTACGGTCGTGCCGCCACCCATGGCGCCGCGGCAACGACGCGCGCCTGGCACACAGCGTACAGACACTACGAAACCGGCCCGGGCACTGACACAATGGTTTGATAAGCAGACAACATACCATTAACATACCACAATGATTTAATTTCCGTAAAATTGGCCCAATCTGAAAGAACAAGTCTTTTCAGATTCTCGATTATTCTCAAGTTCACGTCCTGAATCAATCAATTTTCGGAAAGCAGAAAAAGTGCGGGGCAGGTTAATGACCATGTTCTACTCAGTGCTCACCATGCCGCCAACTATCCTATAGTCCTGAGCCAGTCCACTTACAACATGTAAGTTTTGAGCATTTACTTAAAGATAAGGTCTAATTGTGACAGCCCCCATGCCCAAGCGTGCACGCAGTAGCAGCTTTTGACGCTGTCGACACAATAGAACCAACTGTGGTAAGCGTAACACAGCGCATCGAGCGGCGCCAGCCGGGCCCCCGTCGCCGACACTGACCCGTCCCGAGCCCTTGTTCTCCGACTCGTGGCGACAGTGAGTGTGGATGTCCTTGCCGCAATCCTTATTGAGGCGCGGGTCGAGCGCCTCGTTCTCCTCCCGCTGCAGCAGCTGCGACTCCACCTGTCGGGAGGGCGCGTCAGTGAAGCACGCGGCGCCGCGGAGCCGCGCGCCTCGCCGCTCACATCCGGGCGAGAAGACCGCCCACCCGGCGACCGTTGCCGTCACCCAGCGGCCGCCACACATCACCGGCACCCGACGCCGGGCTCCCCGCGTGACAGGCGACGGCACTGACCATTCGGCTATCGCCCTCTGGATCACCAGGTCACGTGACCATTCGGCTATCGCCCTCTGGATCACCAGGTCACGTGACCATTCGGTTATCGCCCTCTGGACCGTCAGGTCACGTGACCATTCGGTTATCGCCCTCTGGACCGTCAGGTCACGTGACCATTCGGCTATCGTCCCCTGGATCACCAGGTCACGTGACCATTCGGCTATCGCCCTCTGGATCACCAGGTCACGTGACCATTCGGCTATCGCCCTCTGGATCACCAGGTCACGTGACCATTCGGCTGTCGCCCTCTGGATCACCAGGTCACGTGACCATTCGGCTATCGCCCTCTGGATCACCAGGTCACGTGACCATTCGGCTATCGCCCTCTGGATCACCAGGTCACGTGACCATTCGGCTATCGCCCTCTGGATCACCAGGTCACGTGACCATTCGGCTGTCGCCCTCTGGATCACCAGGTCACGTGACCATTCGGTTATCGCCCTCTGGACCGTCAGGTCACGTGACCATTCGGTTATCGCCCTCTGGACCGTCAGGTCACGTGACCATTCGGCTATCGCCCTCTGGACCGTCAGGTCACGTGACCATTCGGTTATCGCCCTCTGGATCACCAGGTCACGTGGCCATTCGGCTATCGTCCCCTGGCTCGTCAGGTCACGTGACCATTCGGCTATCGCCCCCTGGCTCGTCAGGTCACGTGACCATTCGGCTATCGTCCCCTGGATCGCCAGGTCACGTGACCATTCGGCTATCGTCCCCTGGGTCGCCAGGTCACGTGACCACTCGGTTATCGCCCCCTGGGTTGCCAGGTCCGGTTACACCACACACAGAGACCGCGTCACGGCGCCCGGACCGGCAGTCGCGGCAGCTGACTGAGCAGCGGACCGACCTGCAGGCGGCAGGGCTTGGAGACGCGCTGCCTGCGGCCGTCCAGCGTGTCGTTCAGCATGGCGGCGCTCAGGCAGGCCATCACGTCCGCCCTGCCGGCGAAGCAACGCTCCACGTCACCGCACAGCAGTCGCTGCTCCTCACGCCCATGCCGTGACCAGCCGCTGCAGCGTGCATTGAAGGAGGTGCATTGGTTTGCCACACGTGCGCAGGGCGTTATTTATATGCTGCAGAACGGTGATACGGTGAGTACTCATATGAGTAATCGCCATTCCGATAGATGCAGAGCGACCGCAAGTGGCTCACTTCCTCTCCATGTTCTTGCAGAGCTGCAGGATGTCGCTCTGACAACCCTTGCTTAAACTTGTAGCTGAATGTGTAGTCGGCCAGGCTGATGATCTGGAAGTGGCTGATGGCGGCGCGACACTTGGCGGCGTGTTTCAGATCCGGGTCATCCTTGTGCTCGATCAGACACTCCATCACGCCGCCTTTCTCCATCAGGTGCTGTGGGTACGGCACCCCGTCACACACCGCCTCCCCTCTCCATCAGATGCTGCGGGGTACCGCACTCCGTCACACACCGCCTCCCCTCTCCATCAGGTGCTGTGGGTACGGCACTCCGTCACACACCGCCTCCCCTCTCCATCAGGTGCTGTGGGTACGGCACTCCGTCACACACCGCCTCCCCTCCCATCAGGTGCTGTGGGGTACCGCACTCCGTCACACACCGCCTCCCCTCTCCATCAGGTGCTGTGGGTACGGCACTCCGTCTCACAACGCCTCCCCTCTCCATCAGGTGCTGTGGGGTACCGCACTCCGTCACACACCGCCTCCCCTCTCCATCAGGTGCTGCGGGGTACCGCACTCCGTCACACACCGCCGCCCCCCCCCCTCCCCCTCCCCATCACGTGCTGCGGGGTACGGTACTCCGTCTCACACCGCCTCCCCTCCCCATCAGGTGCTGCGGGTACGGTACTACGTCACACAGCGCCACCGCCGGCGCCCGTCGTGGCGCAGCGAGCCCGGCCAACACCCCTGCTCGCCGCAGCCCGCCCGTCCGCGGCCAGCCCGGCGCCCGTCGCGGCGCAGCGGCCCGCCGACACCCCTACTCGCCGCAGCCCGCCCGTCGGCGGCCAGCCCGGCGCCCAGTCTCACCATACAGTTCTGCTTGATGCTGTTCTTGCAGACCCTGGCCACCACCGGGTTGAGTTCAACGTAGCGCGCCTCGTCCTGCGTCAGCGACTGGATCACCGCCTGGCACTTGGGCTTCAGCCTGCCGGCGGAGGTGACGCCACGTCAGGGCGGCGCGGCTGTCACGGCGTTGAGCGACGACGGCGTGGGTCGCGCATCTCGCCAGCGGCATCTGGCCACAGCTGTGACAGGAGAAGGATGGATGGGACGCCAATTCCACACACACGCACACGCGCATGCGCACGCGCACACGCACACGCACACGCACATATAATATATATAATATATATAATAAAGGTATAGTATACACATATAGTATACACACATAATATATATATATATATATATATATATATATAATAAAGGTAAAGTATACACAGTAATACTACCGCCCTAAATGGAACAGAGGAGACTTATCAGGCTTAGACCGGCAGCCGTAACTTCCTCCCACCCACGACCACCAGACAGCATGAATTAGGCCAGGCCACATCCCACTGCTCGGCCGTCTGCCGCGCGGGCGGCGCTCCGGGCCGGCCGTGACGTCCCGCCCTCACTCTCGGTAGTTGTCCTGCAGACAGACGATCTCGTGGCCGCGCTGCGTGCGCTCCGAGCACAGCTTGGCCAGGTCCTGCATGCAGACCTCCTCGATCTCCGGCCGCAGGTCCACCTCGTCGGCGCGCACCTTCATCACCCGGCGCACGGCCGAGCGACAGCCGTCCGACATCTGGCGCCGGGGATGGCCAGTCATCAGGCGGGGGCGGATGGCCAGTCATCAGGATGGCCAGTCACCACCGGGCGACAGACCGCTCGGCAGGCACACAGTCGCAGGGAAGTAACACTGCACTCGTGGCTGGGCTGTGCGGCGCACTCCGCGTTTTATTATTTGGCAGCGCGCCGTCTCATGCAGATTACAGCGTGGGATACCGAAACTCGGTCCTGGCCTCCAGCTCATGACATCGCCTTCGATCGTCGTGCAACGGAAATGAATGGTCTCATGAGAGCCATCCGGT